TTTGGCCCGTATGATTGTATAAATAAAATTATAAAAATATAGAATTTTTCCGGTTTGACCCATATGGAGAGCAACTATCATTGAAAATAGGATTTTGAGAAGGAGAATCGCGAGAATCCATAATATAGTAGGATTAAAAAATTTAGTAGTGACTAGTGAGAACTGAGAAGAAAGAATTATAATCAAGATGATGATTATAATTGCATTTGTATAATCGTAATTGTAGTAATGTAGTAACAAGTATGATGAATGAATTATGAAGTATAAATGTATAATAACTAATGAGAGGGCATTGTAGAAATAATTGTAAGAATAAATTGAAATTTATAAATGAAGGGGATGACATTATTGTTATAAAAGTAGTAATATTAACCATGCATGGCTCGCTGCAGGCGTAGCAGGCACGCCTGCTGTTGGGGAGAAAGCCAAATGACTCTCTCTCTCCCTTTTTTTTTTAAAAAATTGTTTTATTTTTTTGTTTTCAATTTTTTTTACGGACCGCGGGTTAATCACGGCCCGTTGGGGTGCAACCCGCGAGGCCCGCGGGTTACACCTCCTTAGTCCGTGAACCGCCCCGCTCGGATTGCGGGTTGGCCCGCGGTCCCGATTTTCACGGGCCGATTTTCAAGGATCGGCCGACCCATCCGTCTTGACACCTCTAAACACTCCTTACAAAATTAACTAAAATCTCATTATTTTTTCCTTATAAAAAGAGACGGGATTGTTCAACAAAACTTTTAGAAATGTTTTAGCATATTTATGTATAGAAAAAAAGTTTGATAGAAATTATGAATATCATAAAATATATAATTAAAAATTAATTATTAACTTTATTTTCAAGTTTTTAAAAAATTTTTAAACAATTTTAAACAAGGGAACGATACATATTATGGTAGCTACAAGATATAATTCAAAATTAAGAAACTTGTTATAAAGTTTCAAAATTGGGTCATAATTTAAATTTTATTAATTAAAAAAATTATTAATTGAATATATTAAGGTCACAATATTATACAATTTATGATCACAATTACGTTCTAACCACAATTACAGAACGTCTTAATCACAAATCACAAATTTTATGGGTCACAACTTATTTGTCAATCATAATTTATCAAATTAATTGATCACACTTTTTTCTCGATCACAAATCACAAATTTTATATATCACAATTTATTTATTCGATCACAAATTATCAAATTAATAGGTCAATGATTATTTCTCGATTACAAATGAAAATTTTTATTGATCATAACTTATTTCTCAGTAACAATTTATCAAATTAATTGATTACATATTATTTTTCAGTCGCAAATTATCAAATTAATCGGTTACAACTTAACAAATTGTGAGTTACAATTACAAATTCAGTAACAATCTCACATTTTCTCATAGGTCGCACATCATTTATTCGTCACAAATTATTTATTTTATAGGTCACATATTATTTAATAATTACAAATTAAGCCACAACCACCTAAATAATTGGTCATAAACCCTATTCACCCCATCCAATCCCACACATCCCCACTCCACTCCACTCCACTCCACTCCTTCACAACCATCACCATCACACCACCAAAACCACCACCAACCGAATGCCATCCCACTTCACTATCATCGCCATCACTATTTGCAAACCACCAAGGAAATCCACTCCAAAACTCAAGCTAAGCTGATCAGAGGAAGAAACCACCCCAAAGCCCTACTAAAGAGAAATAACAAATGCCACGATTAAATTCTAAGGTTTTGCATCTACCTCTCTCACAAGCTCATAGAAAACCCTATTGCAAAAATCATGGTAGTATTTGAAGTTGGCACAATGCTGTTTAACTCGGATGGATGGGGCTTGAATCATTTCTCCTACACTTTTTGTACCCAACTATCCCTTTAATGTCCTGTTTGTCCCTTTTTCCCACTCCGAGAAGCTAGGCTCTATAGTTGATTGAACGCGTTCACTCACAAACTAGAGACGATCAAAGTCTAAGCAAGGCCACCACACATCTAATTTTGTGTTTGATTTCTTGAGCGATGACTCCTTTGTTACTCTCGTCGCTAATGAGGACTCCTCATTCTGCATTGTTAACACATCTGCCAGTCGATTCCGTTGCACGTAGTGCTGCACTGGTGAGCACCGATGCATGGCAATGGTTGATCCACTGATTTCATCGTATTGTGCGCAACGATGCTTCTATTTTGATAGAGGAGAGAAATTATAGAGATAGAAGCATGAGGATAGTGAGAGAAGAGAGAGGTTAGAAAGAAAATTTAGCTTCCATTAAAATTTTAATACATTTTTCAATAAAATAATATTATACATAAATTGCAAACTTTTCATTCTTTTTCAATTACACATTCTTAAAAAAATATTATTCTAAATAATGGGAGTCAAACTAGGGATTAGTAATAATATTATATTATTAATATTAAAAATGTGAACTATGATTTGATTTTTGAATGATCAATTTTTAAACTTAACCCCTGTTTGAGCGGCAATTAAAATTTTTATTCTCATTCTTCTACTTATTTTCAATAACACATTTTTCAATAAAATAATATTTTACATCACATCAATAACTTTTTTTTTTCAACCACAGATTCTCTAAACACACTCTTAATTTTTGAATTGAAAGTTGAGATCTCTGTGTGTGTGAGATTTCTACATTCTACCTCATACCATTCAAAAAACACCGTTCCAATCCAACTACAATCAATAAATGTAAACCCACCCATGAGATATGATAGGGTAATGTTATTCATGTCCAATGAAGATGAAAACACAGTTTACGTAACTTTAAATGATAAATTAAATGAAAGGTGAATTTTACATATTATTTAATTTATCATTCAAAGTCATGTAAACTGTGTTTTCATCCCCAATGGAGATGAATAGCATTTATCTATATGATATGACCCCCAAAAACTAATTTTCGTTCCCTACCCTTCCTCCCCTGTATTTGGGTCTCACGCGCCAATTCCAACGCCAAAATTATAACCACGCAAGACCACGTCGACAAATCGCGTTAAAAGTCACCAAGATATTTACGTCGTAGAGGACACAAAAATAATCAGCTCAACTTTTATATTTCTTCACCTTTTCTCAGTTTCCATAGCCTTCTTCTCCTGTTCTGTGTTGCTTTTCATCTCACCGATCCAATAAAATTAAATATAATAAAAATGAAGATTTTTGTGAAGACTCTCAAGGGTACCCATTTCGATATTGAAGTGAAACCTGAAGACACGGTTTGAGTTTTTTTCTTTCTTTCCTGATATGAATTTGTGTTAATTTGATTAATTATGGTGACTCTGTTTATGTTAATGATGAGTTTTTCTTAATATTTATTCAACGATTATTTATGGGTTTTCTTGAATTTTGATTTTTATATGTATGATGTTGTTTATATGTTAATTCATGGACTTTGAACTTACAAAATTTAGTGTAGATGACTTTTATTGTTTCATGGGGGTTCTGAATTGTTTGTAGCTGTTGAGTAGCTTCGGTTTACTAAGTTAGTTTTAAAATTGGACGCCATGAGTTTTTATTCTCTTCCAATTTTGAAATTCGATGCTTGTGTTTCTATTTTAATTCAGAATAAAGTTACGAAGTCCTAAGTTTAAATCATTTGAATATTTTTCTGTGCGTCTCAGTGTTACAAATAACTATATGAGTAATTCTATTAATTACAACTGGTAAACGAATTAAGGTTTAGTGAATAAAGTTAGCACTATAATTTCAGTTGCTTAATCATTAATGTGAATTAGATGGGTTTTGTAATAAAACTGCACGCCTTTAACCTCTAGGCTTATATAATTTAGTTTATGCACGCTCTGGTGTTGGGGTATCATAGGCAAAATATAAAGTTTACGGAAGGCACCTAAATAGCCAACTTGGTTTCGTGCTGCACCAGTCTTGTGTTAGGAGCATGTCTCCTAAGGGTTGGGTGCTCTGTGTGTTGGCGAGCAATCCACTGATTCTTAGTTTGTGCTCTAGAAGTCTTTAGGTTGCATTTTTTTTTTTTATCAATGGTAGATGAAGATGGTTGAGGCTGGCCACAGTACTTGATGACAGTAAAATGGTGCATGTGGTTGCAGTTGAAGAAGAAAATAATTTGGGTAATGTGTAAAGACTCAATTAGGTGGGGTGGGTTTGGAAGGAGACATGGTTAATATTCAGTGACGGTGGGAAGGAAAATGCAAAAGGGAAAAGTAAGAAGATGGAAACGGTCGTAGAAGAAGGAGCAACAGCAACCGATAATTTTCTTCTAGATTAGGGTTTTCTGGATGCATAGCTTCTATTTCTTTTCTTTATTTTTGTGCAGTCCAACGAATAACCTAATGCTTGCTTGACCAAGACGTAAATCTAAGCAAACTCTTTAGGATGTATGCAGAGTGCTATTTAAATGATCAAATATATTTATTAACTTTTTGAACGCAAAGAATAATTTATATTTCTGTTTATTTTTTTACTAGATACTGTGATATCCTTGCACACTCAAATAGTTTTAATTTTGGTGCATTTGAGCTCCTAATCTTGCTCTTGCCTTTTTGACTTAGAACTTGTCACTTTGCATATCATGTACAGTTGTCTAGCTGCTGTTTTTATTAAGCAATGGCTCAATGAAAGAGAAATCAAATCTTGAGAACTATTCTGGAGTTTATTAATTTATCAAAGAAATTTCTTAGTTGTCCTATGGCAGAAAGTCGACTTTTTGTTTGGCATTATGTTTTGTAGATGACAAGTACTTGTCAGAATGCTTGTATGTTTCAAGATGAGGTTAAAATTGATGCCCATAACATGTAGTTGGGGAATATAAAGTATAAAGTTAGCTGAAGCTAGTTGTAGCACCGCGTACGTTGCAAAGAATGCATCAAAAGAGGATAGATGACATGATTCTGTTGCATGGCATGCACGTAGGAAAGTCTACTTAAAGGAATTTCCTTCTGTAGTTCATGGAATGGCGCTCGTTTTGAACATAGGGGAGGGAGGGAGTAATTAGGAATATTTATTCTCTAGATGAGTGTATTTTCATGTAATCAATGTAGGGAACAATTGAAGTAATAAATTTCTTTGATTGTGGTCAGTATTTCCATGTTTCATGAATTGGCTGTGAAATATTTCTATATTCTTTAGTTGTTCCTCAAATTTTATCTGTGGCATAGTTATTCTTATTTCTTTAAAATAAAATAAAATAAAATTATGGGGCTTTAGTTGTTGAAATAATTAATTTTATTCTGCAGGTCACTAATGTGAAGAAAACCATCGAAACTTCTCAGGGATCTGATGTTTATCCTGCTACACAACTGATGCTTATCCACCAGGGAAAGGTTCTTAAAGATGGAACAACATTGGGAGAAAATAATGTTGCTGAGAACAGTTTTGTTGTTGTCATGCTAACAAAGGTAAACTTGTTCTGTTGCTAGTTACTGGATCTTCTAGAGTACCTACTATATTTGCCATTCGAAGTATTGACTTGCATCTAGATTTGTTTCCGTATGGTTGACTTTCCGTCTCTAACTTTTTCAAGTCTCTGTTGGACTTACGAACCCTATATATTTTGGCCTAAGATATTTAGCAGCAATATTTGATTTTCAGAAATAACTCCTTAATCAATAACACATACTTAAGCATAAATAAAAGGCACATGGTTCATTGAAGTGGATGCATATTATATCTGAATCTAGAAGTCTATTCAATGCTAAATTTATTAAATTAAATTACAGCATTTTGTAAATGGTTACAACAATAATATCTCGAGGTTACCACTTACCATTGATTTGATCAAAATTGACATTTTAGTAATTTCAGACTTAGATTTTAATTTGAATTTCAGTAATTAATCCTATTTCAGAAGGAAAGTATATATCGCCAAGAAAAATAAAATATAATTAAATAAAATTAACAAGTCAGATGAAAAGATCTCAAAAAGCATAAAAACTTAGTATAAAATTTTCTGACCTCATTGTTCTTGGTGCTTTTTTGTGCGCCATTGTAGAGCTTTTGCTCTTTTATTTATTTATTTATTTTAATCTGTTTTGCCTGAAATGTTTTAGAATAAGAGCTCGTCTGGTGAAGGGTCAACCACATCAGCTGCACCTGCTGTAAAGGTAATATCATGTCATATTTAATATTTTGTTGTTATTTATTCACAATCTTGTATTGCTGTTTATATGAATTTGATTACCATTCTTCTGATATACCATCCTCTGATCTGATGGCATATCTTTTCTTGGTGCATTTGACATTTTAGCTGATCTAAGTGCGCTGAAATCTCGAGAGTGCCGAAGCTTCTAGCATCTATTTCGTTGACATATTCTGTAGCTTCCAGCAAAATTGCCTATGTTGAGATGCAGCAATTAAATTTTTAACTGTTCTCTTCGACGTTTGGTAGTTGCATCAAGACTTTCTTCCTGAGAATGCCATTTAAAGTGAATGACTATTTCCCAGAAGTGGCACAAAACATTTCTTATGAGCTTCACGATTTGGTTTATGGTATATGCATGTTCCAGCACGTCTGTAGAAGTTTGCAACAGTGAATGGTTCATCATCATATTTCTATAGAAACTCTATTAGATTGATTTTCTACTGTGAAAATCCAATTACATACTGTTGATTGTCTTTAATTACTTTATTAGCTGAGTGGGCATCTGAATTTCAATAGACAATTGTTGCATTTAATGCAGACAGGTGTCATGTCAGTGAATGAAATTAGTGCTAGAGTTTGCCTTTATTAGAGTGAATCTCTTTGCTGACTTTTGCCCAAGATAGGTCCAAAAAGTTTGTATCATTTGATAATCTCAGCTCAGGGAGTTATTGGTTGATGCTTATTCAATAACTGATGATAGCCCTCATTACAATGAGAATTTTATTCTACAAGATTCAACACATTTTACTTTACCCTCTTAAAAGAGAAATATCTTAAGAGAATTTAATTTTTTATACCTCATCATGCTACAGGAATTAGTGTTAATTAAGGTGTGTCTAAAAGTGTTTCCCTCCTTGTAGGTGCAACCGACAAGTGCCACACCTCCTACTTCAGCTCCAACATCAACAGCACTTCATGCTCCTGCTGCAGCGTGAGTTTTAGCTTACTTACCTTAATAATGTGCACTAGGGTGTCTCAATACACTAAGCTCCGTCCCTTTAACTCTTTGTCGATGCATGGAATAATTGTTTATTTTAATATGTTCCCTTCATTATTTTTCTACTTCCAGACCTGCACCTGTACCCACTCCTGCATCCTCTCCCATTCCTGTTCCTGCTGCTGACGTGTGAGCTTCCCTTAAATGAGATTTGACGTGCATTAATCATTCAATAGTCATAAGTAGTTTGGTGATTCTTCTATCAATATTTGATGGTTTTCCTGTGATAGATCGGATGCCTATGGCCATGCGGCTGCCAATTTAGTTGCTGGCAACAACCTTGAGGGTACGATCCAGCAGATTCTTGATATGGGTGGAGGAACTTGGGATCGAGATATAGTTGTCCGAGCTCTTCGAGCTGCTTTCAACAACCCGGAAAGAGCTGTTGAATATTTATACTCAGTAAGTGTCAAATTTCTATATATAAGTGAATTTCCATTATTCAATTGAAACTTTTACATATATGAGCACTTAAATCTTCTGTAATTGTTTTGATAGTCTCAAGGATTTCACGAGAAAGTAGGTTACACAACTGGGCTCAGCATTCAAATGACAAAATTATACTATTTGAGAAGTAAATCGTCAATGTTTTATGAAAGAGGTGGATGCAGAAATATCTGTAATGTCATAGGGTAGGAGTGAATGAAGTCCAGGCGTATACAATCTCTCTAATTAAAAAAAAGGGGGGGAGATTTTTCGCATCATGAACGACAAAGTCTCCAGGACCTATTGTCAAGGCCAAGATGGGATAAAATTATTTATTTGAGAATAATTGCTCTTAGAATTTATTTATTTAGTTCATAGTTCAGAACTGATGTATCAAATATTAGGTAATGGTTGTCAGAAAGAAATAATATAATGAATCAACATAAGTTGCATAAATTTCAATTTTACTAAAAAAATGAAAAAAATGAATCAATGATTATTTTCAACTTTATAAAATGGGTTAAATGAAAATTAAATGGACTGTTTGAGATAGTTAAGTTACTTTACAGGCTTTTATAACTAGTTCATTTCATAGTCTACATGCAGTAAACAGCTTATGCTGGGAGAAAGTTTCCATGTCATGAGTAGGGTCTTTAACAGTTTCTCTTGGCTAAAAGTCTGTTCTCTACGCTAGATATCTTAAAGGTGGAGATAGGAACCTCTGTTCTATTTATTAACTCAATCTTTCCCCTGGAAAAAGGAACTTTTGGTGCATCCTTTTGCGTGAAGTTATTGTGGTTGATTAAAAAAAAAAAAATTAGAGTCAGAGTTAGAGTGGGATACAATGGTTAGTCATCAGTATTTATCATTTACCAGAGCATAATTATTACAGAATAGGGTGACAGAATAATAGATCAAGTTACACACGTTCCTGGAAAGTGTAGAGGATAGTTTGGCCTAAATTTTTTTTTTTTTGCATGTGTACGACTGAGTACAGTAGCCTGAAAAGCGGTTAAAATAAAGTCATTTATTGGAATTTGATTTGAAAACTCTTGTTAATGATTTAGGATAAGTTCTTTCTTCTGATCTGATTTTTTTCAGTATATACATTATTGTAATTCATCATGCTAAATAGGCAATGTAAAATCTGATCATTGTGAATATCTTGCCCTTCGAAAGAACTGAAAAAGGATTTTGCACGAAACGCTAATCACTTTCTTCAGTTTAAGTTATGCATACTAAACACATTTAGGAATTTTTTTTTCTTTGCTTTTCCATAGAAACTGCATTCCTTTTCTGCTAGTGGTGGCAAAAAATTTTCTTTTTATATTTCATCTCATCAATGTAACGGAAATATAAGCATACATCTTCATTGTCCATTGCTCTGTTGAACAACTAGGAGGTTCTTGATAATGGATATAAGCTTTTGTCTTCATTTGGTTCAAGGAACCTTTATGCCGATTCATATCTTGACATTTTCACCATCATTGATGCGACTTGTCTTCGAAATCTAAATATCAGGGTATCCCCGAGTCAGCAGAAGTTCCACCTACAGCAAGAAGTGCACCTAGCACTCGGGCGGCTAATGTGCCTTCTCAGCCTCAGCAAGCCGCACAACCTGCTCCTGTACCTTCAGCTGGACCCAATGCAAATCCTCTAGATCTTTTCCCACAGGTAAATGGTTTCATTGTCATTATTATAATTGTTTATTAATCCTCTCGTCTGAGTGGACTTAAATTTTCTTCTAACAGGGTCTTCCTAGCATGGGTTCAAATGTTGGTGGTGCCAACACCCTAGATTTTCTACGCAATAGTCAGCAGGTACAACTTTTACCTATGTCTCTTGACATCCCTGAACACCCTCCCGCTATCCTTCCTCCCCCCCCACCCACAGACATTACCACGATAAAAAAAAGTTTAAAATAAAGATAATAAGAATAATTAGAAAAAGGGTTGATCTACTTTTCTTCTGACTTGGACATTTTATTTGCTTTTTGTGTTTCAGTTCCAAGCCTTGCGAACAATGGTGCAGGCCAACCCACAAATATTACAGGTTTTTTTGGCTGCTACCTTAACGTTTGTTCTCTTTTTCTAGTTAATACTGATTTATGTTTCTGGATAAGATCTGTGTAATTCTTGTCTATGTTTACAGCCCATGCTTCAGGAGTTAGGAAAGCAAAATCCTAATTTGATGAGGCTGATTCAAGAGCATCAGGCCGATTTCCTTCGCCTTATAAATGAACCTGTTGAAGGCGGAGAAAGGTAGTCAAGTCTTTTTTTTTTCCTGGAACTATCCTTATCTTGTTAGTTGCCTGTGCCACAAACTGTATTTCATATGCTGCCATGTTTTTGATGTGATATCAGTAACATACTAGGGCAGCTTGCTGAAGCTATGCCACAGGCTATAACAGTTACTCCTGAGGAACGTGAAGCCATTGAACGCGTAAGTGCAAGCCAAACTATGACTTGATTTTAGTGTTTAGTTTGGAAGTACCTTTCGAAAAATCTATCTTTTTCATAGTGATTTGTGTGTCTTGTGCAAAGTTTGTCATTGCATTAGGCAAAAAGAAGATGCTTTCTTTTTCAGGAAGCGAGGAACTATGTCTCCGTTAATCTGTTTAAATTTGCCTTAGTTGAACTGGAGTCCCTTTTCTTGTGTGTTCAGACAGCAATGGGGATTATGAGAATATGAGGTGCACTTCTAGGAATGCCTCGTCAACTAGTACTCTGTTTTATCATTTAGGTCAAATTTGAATTTCTTGAAACTTGTCGTTATCTAATATTGAGTTTGGTGAAGGTGCTTTCGAGGGGTCTTTTTTGTGTCTTCTCTTTACGTAATCAGGTAAGTTCTATTCGTTCAATGGTAACAATGGTCCATGGCAACTTTGATGTAATGGCTTGAAAAAACAGAAACAGATTCTCCGTATTAGAGATCATGGCTCAGTCATGTGGCCCTTCTTGATGAGTATGACTGCACGAGACCTTTCTGTAGTGATTGAGGTTTTTTTTGTCTTTGTTTCAAGCACAGCTGGTCTCTGTTGTGCATTCACACAACAGTGTTTAGGGAAGAAATTTTAGCCATTTTTTCTCCTTGACTTTGAAGTTGAGCTTTTCCATGCCTCACGTCTGATTATGATACACGTTGAGAAGACGTGAAGCGTGACTATGTCAATTAAGTTCTACTAGCAATTATGCTATTTATTTGGCTCCTTGTTTTCCCAGCTCGAAGCAATGGGGTTTGATCGAGCACTTGTTTTGGAGGTGTTCTTTGCCTGCAACAAGGATGAAGAGCTTGCTGCGAACTACCTGCTAGATCATATCCATGAGTTTGAAGAATGATGAAACTGAGTGTTGATGGAACAGTCTCTTGGCTGTAAACCTTTACACCTTTGCTTTTCTTTCTCTTAAAATAATTTGTAACTTTATTTTCTTTTTTCGACTGTGCGTACTGAATTTATATGATGACTACTGGTGGGGAGAGGGACATAAGTGTTCAGAAATGTAATTAGTAAATTATGCCTTGACATGTTTCTTCTCAGTATCGCTTCATTAAAATTAAAATCTATTTATTTTTTCATGGTCATTCTTTTTCTATTTAAATAAATCTTGAATACCGTAAAACAAGGGATTAAAGCAAGGTAATCACTGTAATCAATTAAAAGCAACTAAACATGCAATGAAGGTATAACGTATAATAACACACGAATCTTTTCAAACATGTTCACACGGAATGATAGACTAACACCAAGTTAATCAATCAAATGATCAACACGTATACAATAAATGCATAAATTCAACCTACGAAAAGATTTCACTCACACCTATCCTATTCCGTGTTGCTCGCACCTTGAGAGCACATTTTTCCTCTCATCGCCCATCATACTCACTAGATTGATCAATAACTCATGTCTAACTGGTAAACCACAATAGATCCTAAGCCCATAAGATAATCCTTTATCACTACATCACCTCTCTCAACCTAAGTGGATAATTGGTCTCTACCTTACAGAAATGATATAAGTGTCACTCTTACACTCCACCTGTACATGATCTTTCACAGATAGAAGATTTTAGACATTTAATCATATATGTCTATTTAGCAGTAATACAAATAATGTTTAAATCCTTATTTAGAGAAGGAATGGATCCACTTTTAACTGTAAGTTTACATGATGGAAGAATAATAAATTTAAAAGTTAGCCATCTAGGAACCATAAAAGAAAACTTAGCATACCAAAACAATGATATTTACTTGTTACCCAAAATATTGTATCTCATTAAAAGATAAAAACTTTAATGAAGTCTTAGGTTTGCATTTCAAGTTACATAGGAATGATATAATGTAACCAGAAGATCAAATTATGACTATTGAATATAGAGCCTTATATACGTTTACCAGCTCTAATTATGGAAACATTTATTCTAGGAAACCATACAAAGAAGTTCATAAAGAATATAAAGATATCAGTAAAATTATAGAACCAAATAAACAGGTAAACTTGATTCCAAAGGAATACGAATTTAGAATATCAATAGACAAACCTGAAATAATAGAATTAAGCGAATAAGAATATCCTGATAATAATATAATATTTAAAGATGGAAAATTAATCAGAATATCAAAAAGTTTTAGAATACCTAATAGAAAATCATTAGAAGAAACTAGTCACATAAGAGAAATAAAGCTTCACAAGAATACAAGTGTTGACATACAAAAATGAGGCCAATTAAATGGTCCAATAGATGGAGCCTAGTTAGAGAATTTGAGAGATAGGTCCAAATGAGACCATTGTAAAATATAGTGAAGCCCCATAAGTGAAGGACTATTATCGTCGAAGCCTGCAGTATACCCATGGTTTGAGCGAATGAAGTACCTTATTGTCGCTCAAAGCGACGGTCCCATTCTCGCCCAACCCTTTCAGATGCCCAATATTTGAGTGAATACAGCGTCTTGTTGTTATTTAAAGCGACGGTTATTGAAGCAGTTATTGATCAACCTTATCACGTCCCACGATCCAAGAATCTCGGTTGCAGGCAATTGAAAAAGGGGAGTAATAGCATGCAGTTTAAAATGGCGGTTCCTTGACACGTCAGCCATTATGAAGCAAGTGTGAGAGATAAGTGGGTATTTATAGAGCGACAAACAGTTTCCAAACGGTTCTACAAGGAAAATGGCAAGGGAGTATAAAAAAAAGAAGATATAGAAGAAATGGACCGAATCAATCACTTTCAAGCAGATAATTATGTAATTTCATTTCGTAAAAAAAAGAAGACATAGAAGAAATGGACCGAATCAATCACTGTCAAACAGATAATTATGTAATTTCATTTCGTTTAGTTCTTATTGTCAACTTTCAAATTACTTTGTGTGCTTGTGCCTCTTGGAGGCGTTTTGCTTCTTCTTAATTGTAATCTTCATAAATAAAGCACCTCTCGTTGGGACATTGTTTCTAGAGTTTTGTTCCTTACACAATCGTCTGAACCATCTTTTAATTGTTAGCAATGTTCGATAATCTGTGCGAAACAATTTGGCATGCCCAATGGGACCATTGGTGTTTGAGTATATGAAAATTGAAGCAATATGCCTCATAAGAATTCTGATAAAGAACCAGTAAAGCCAAGGAATAGTCAATTCTGTGATCGAACGATATGAAGAGTAGCAAAGTACTCCACGAACAGAGGGATAGAGTCAAAGTAGTCAAAGTCGTTACGAACCGATGACAAAATTAAGTCCTCGAACCATACGTGCATTGCTTGAGGAACTCACACAAGATATTGTTGAACAAGTAAATCTACAAAATGTTCATAATATGGAAAAATTTACTCAAAATGGAAACGCACATTATGACAACATGACCAAACAACTAAACACGTTAAATGAAATCATGAATAAGTTAGTAGGCCAAATTTATCAACCAATTGTGCCAAGTTTCCAAACCAGGACAATTATGGGATATAATTCTCCAGTCCTAAGTCCGAATCAACTGATAGAGCCACCTTTTGGACCGTCCACTTCAAACCAGGGGGTGGTGGAATGGAAAATTTGAATGGTGGAAATGGAATATAAAAGCTGGGGGTAACCTAAATGCAAGAGACAATGTCCAAACCAATGAACAGAACACCCTATGTGTTAATGATGGTAGAAATACTCAGGCTAACGGTAATAATGATGCATTCACCATGAACCAATGACCAAATATTAGGCCTCAAACAATCCCACCAATAAATCAATCTATAGGAGTCCCATATAATCCCAACGTTATGTTGATGAATCAAATTATGGAGATAGTGCAAGATCAAATGGCTTTTGAGATGCGTCATTTTATTAGGCCTATTTACACAAAGCCATATCCTAATTGGATAAATAAAGCATATCCATGGCCTAGAGGGTACAAAGTACCAGTGTTTTCATTATTCACCGATCTGGGAGAGGTCTCTACTCTGGAACATATAGGGCATTCACACTACAATGTGGTGAAGTAACTTATTATCACAAAATAAGGCTATTCCCTAGTTCGTTAACAGGAGAAGTCTTCTTAAGGTTCATAAATTTTCCAGCAAACTCTATCCAAACATGGCAACAACTAGAACATTTGTTCCATGCTTAGTTTTATAAAACTGAATCTGAAGTTACTTTGGCCGACGTGGCGAATTTACGTCAAATGCCAAATGAATGGGAAGAAAATTTCCTTCAGAGATTTAAAACAGCTAGGAGCAAATGTTTTATACCTCTACTAGAAAAGGAATTCGTCAAAATTACTCAAACTTGCTTAAGTTTCGATTTAAAAAAGAATTTAAAGACAGGGAATTTCCTGACCTTTTCCAACTGAGTTTGAACATAATTAGATATGACCGATTGATAAGAGAAGAAGAATAGATGAAAAACTCTAGCAAATGGACTTACTATAGAGACCCAAACTTTGATGTTCATACTATTAATGATGAATATTACGATCAGACAGAAGTATGTCTGGTCGAATTGATCAAAGGAGATGCATATGCTTGTCCTATAATGGCCAAATTTAGAATATGAGCCTGTAAAAAATGAAAACAGAAAGGCTAACATTTGATGTGACCAAGGCCGACCTTATATTCGATAAATTATATAAGGATAAGCAGATAAATTTGAACGACAAGCATAAATTGCCAGACCCTGAACAAATAAAAGGTAAAAAATAATGTAAATGGCACAATGCATGGTCATATATGACTAATAATTGCTCAATCTTTCGTCATATGTTACAGGATACCATCGACTTAGGGCAAATCACATTTGAAGCTAAGAAGAAAATGGCAGTGGATAAAAATCATTTCCCACAGCCACTTGGGGTGAACATGGTAACGACTGGTTTCAAAAACAAGTTATGAAGATTCAAGTTGGTTGTAGATGAAGGAGAAGAAGATCCTGAGCCACATCCCAGCGTCTTTGAGCGTATCAAAGGAAATGGGCCACAAGAAGGCCAATGTATTTTGTGTGTGAGATGTAGGGGAGAAATGAATGTTAACATAGAAATATTATGAATATGGAGACATCACCATCGCCTTGATGCTGTCCCAAATATCCAGCCGGTGGAGGACGAGGTGCATCATTCTATAGAGGACCGCTTTTGGAGAGGCAGTTCAGGCCGATAAACAATTGGAGGACATTCAGGCCGCAACCTCGCCAACCAAATGTATGGCATTCATTCCAGTATAATGCATGAAGGGTTGTACCTTTAAATGAGATGACCAAAACTCAACAAAGACATTTTCAACGAAACTATGGATGAATGATTAGGCAACAACAGGGATTGCCACATCCTAAGGTACCTAACTTGCTTGAGGTGGCCAACCAAAATGTTCTTGAAGATGGTAAAGAATTCGATATGGGTGAATCAATGGAAGAGTACCAGAAAATTTTTTTGGGAGATCAAAGTTTGAGTGTGGAAAGAACGATGAAGAAGATCCAGAGCAACTCATTACCATCAAATTTGGTACCTTACCTCCTATTATGGCTAATAATTATTTACTAGCCATTGAATTCAAAAATAAAGAAAATGACAAGGAGGAAAGGGAAGGTAATGAGGAAGAAGCATGTATGCTGGAATGTAAGGAAGGCCAAACGTCCCAGGAACTGATATTGAAGAGGAAATTGATTTAGAAGCAGAGAGAAAAAGAAGAGGAGTGTCGCATAATACTTTGTTGAAACAACTACATCGGGAAGGTGTTCGCGAGGTGGATTTGTTAAGAGAACCATCTGGGAGTTCTTTTGACTGCTATGCATTATACGAGACACCTAAGAGAAAGAAGAGAGTATCTCACTCTGAGAAATATGGGTAACCTCCAAGAATATTACCTCT